TCGCCAGTCCATCGCAGGGCAACACACAAACAACCACACACACTCATAATAGTCAGATCTATTTATTCAAGCGGAGTCATACGTTTGGCCAGGTACTGGTACCGGCTTTAATCGTCCTCTTTTCTTTTTTAGCTGACAGACATTTTCTACCACAGACACACACAGACAGACAGACTCCACGGTGAGCAGGTTGGTGGAGTAGCCCACAGACACATATCACGCAGGTATTCCAGGACTCAAATGCAACACACCGGGAAGGCCAATTTAACTGTCTTTATTTTAAAGAGGTCTTCAAAAATCCAAAACACAAAACTCTGCTAAGCAGGAACGACGAAAACAAAAGAAACTCCTTAAATGTCCACTCAAACAGAAAAAGGTGCACAAGGCACAAACAGAATTACCACATGCAGACACTGTGGATAAAGTCCAGAAACGGGCAAAAAAGGGCTGAGGAGCGATGCAGAAGTCCACCGAGAGTCTCACAAATGAAACACGAACTAGCAATGAAGGGGAAAACTGAGGGAGCTATAAAACTGGGAAAATGAGATGGGAATGATTTTCAGCTGTGAACTCAAGTGTGTAGATAGCAGGGCGGGAAAACAGGGCAGTAGGTAAAAGCTGGACCGGAACAGGTGACTCAAGTAAAACAAAAAGAGGCTGAGGAAAAAAGGGAATGGACTGGGCAAAAATGGGCACAACTGTGACAACCCATGTACAGAGACGGCGCATTGAGGGCTAAATCGTACGTCCACATCGCCGCAATCTTGGATGTGGCAAAGTGGACAATGGGAGTCAGCGATCAGAGAGTTTTCCATCCCAAACTGGGCTGTTGGTATGCCTCTCTCTCCCTCTGTCTGATGTTGCAAATATTGAATATAGAATTGTCAAGACCTATCAATGAAGTGTCTGAAGAACATCACAGTTTTCGGTGATGTAAACATCGTAGCCACCTGCTCAAGAAAAAAGAATGCCTTACCCCATGAGAACATTGTGGAGATTCATCCTCAGAACTGCTGTGGTGATCCTGTGTGTTTAGGGCCCTCTTCTGAGACAGGGAAGTCTTTTGGTTTTGTAAAACCTGGTTGCTTATCGCCTCTTTGATTATGGTTTGGTTTGCCTGTCAAAAACGTTTAGAATGTAAAAACAATGATAATACTGTCACAATGTAAAATTCTCACTAGCATACTGAGCCTAATTAAATCCAGGATAAATTTATACTAGAGAGAACACAGAAATAATTTCATCAGCACCCTGACAGACAATGGAAGTAAAGGTGCGGCAGTAGTGGCAAATGGCAGAGCCTACATAATCACTGATCATGATTATATAGATCATTGATTTTATAGAATAGTATGAAAAATTAAGTTTAGCCAAGACATTCTTCCTAACAACGACAAAATTAAACAGAGCTGTTAGCTGAAATAGTTTGTAAAATAACAGGTATTCTCCATACTTGCCTCCAAATAACAGGACTTTAGCAGTCACCGTCCTCTTTGGTTCTTTTCTGGTCGGCCACTTTATTTCTATCCAGTTAGCGTCTTCATCAAGGTCCGGCTGGGATACCACTTGGGTTAACTGGTAGCTCCCAACATGCGATGTACTCTCCACTTTAAGTGTTTTACTAAATAAATAGTAAATGGCGAATTTGAATGACATTTTTGCTCCTAACCGTACAGTCTATCCTTCCAACCTGCTTGACCCCGCTCTAATAGATGAGAACGTCCGCAGCGCTGGTTGGCTGAAAGTGAAAAACGAAATTGATGCACTTGATTGGTCAGAGACTCGGCGCCAATCTAAAAAAAATATGAATTTTAGAGACATTTTATACAGCCTGTTATAATACTATACCAAATCATCATGCCAGCTAAAAGAAAACTGAAGAGACATTTGAATTCTGACGAGAGTCAACCAGAGACGCCAAGAACAACAAAATATAGAAAACTTCAACAAAACCAGGTAATGAAAACTACAATTGGTGAAATGCTGCAACGAAAATGTCAATTTTACTCTCCTGCCCACGCTCTCGTCTTCCCGCCGTGCCCGTGGTCGAGCCAGGGAGGCTCGCCACGCCCACGCTCTCGTCATGTCCCTCGTCCTGTACCCAGCCTTGTCCCCTGTCATGTCCCCAGCCATGCCCCCAGCCATGTCCCCAGCCATGTCCCCAGCCTCGCCCTCGTCATGTCCCAAGCCACGCCCACACCCCTAGCCAGGGCCCTCGTCATGTCCCTCAGCCATGTCCCCAGTCATGCCCCTCGCCCTGTCTCATGCCCCTCGCCGTGTCTCATGTCCCTAGCCTTGTCCTTAGTCATGTCCCAAGCCATGTCCTAGCCATGCCCCCAGCCTTGTCCCCAGCCTCGCCCCCGTCATATCCCCAGCTATGCCCCTCACCAAGCCAAGTCACATGCCATGATCCACGCCTCGTGTTTGTTCCCTCTGTTCCTGATTTCCCCCCCCCCCACCCTCCCGTGGTCCTTGTGTGTTTTTAGGGCCGTCTGGGAGCCGTCCCTTAAGGGGGGGGCTCTGTCACGTCTGGTGTCTCGTCATGTCATGATTACCCATTGTGTACACCTGGGGTTCCCCTCCCTCATGTGTTTAAATAGTCCTCGTTTCCCCTTGTCTTGTGCGAGTGCGTTTTCGTCCGTCTTGTCCATCGTCACCCCCACGCCAGGTTTGTTTTGCCATAGTCTTTTACTTTGCCATAGTCACAGTCTTTGTCACAGTTTTGTCAATCGTTATTTTGTTACTTTGCCTCAGTCAAGTTTGCTTATTGCTTTGTTACTTTGATCACAGTTTTCCACAGCTTTGCTTTGTACTTTGTCTGGACTCTGGTCTTTTGTTACAATAAACCTTGTTTCCCTCATCTCCGCAACTGAGTCCTCCCTCCAAGAACCCACCCCACATGACAACAAGTCTTCCAAGTTCTTCAAAATAATCACCAGGGTAAAAAAACTGTCAGTGTAGTGATATTTTGTGTTTGTGATCTAATTGTTATCTCTTGTTATCTCTCCGATCGTCT